CCTTGGCGGCCCTGTGGAGGTCGTGCAGGCTTCCCTCGGCGAGGGGCGGGCCGGCCCGCGCCGGGGCCATCCGCCCTTCGTAGGCCGCGAGCCCGTCCTGCAGCAGGGGTCGGCCAAGACAGCGTCTTGCGTTGTCGCACCGGTTTCGCCCCGGGGCGGCATGGCACGGAACGGTCCAGCTGGTGGCTCGAAAAGCTACGCTTCGGCGCAGATCCGAAGCCGTGATTGGCCACTTGTGGGCCCGAGTTTGGACCACAAGACGAAAACGAAGAGGGAACGAAAACAGGATCCACGAGGTTGCCAGAGCAACGCCTTGGCCGGCCCCCGTCCTTCAGGCCCTGCCGCAGCTGGGACTGCAGCACGGAGGCCCACGCCGAGTGTATGGCTCGGAGGAGGGCCCGCCGGGACGTCTTCCGCCCTCGCCTGGGTCGGCGGTGGACAAACCTCCCTCGAGTAAACCTCCCTGTCGTGAAAACGGCCTGGGGCCGAAACCGGCGCACCTGGACCCGCAAAAACGGCGGCCGCGACGCCCTCTCGCGAAGCGAGAACGGCCGATTCGCCCATCGACGCGTCAGGGTAGGAGGTCCCTCCACCCCCGCCTGGGCACTCCGGGAGGCTCCTCGTCGCCACGGCTGCACCCGCGCCGGAGGAGCGGCCAGGACGGACCCTGAAGGGGCACCCCAGGAGCGGGCTCTCTCCACCGGGCGCGGGGCCGTGCGGGGGAGCGCCGCCGCCGCCGCGGCGGGGCCATCCTCCGAGGGCACGCCGAGGAGCGAAAAAAAACACTGCACGAGAGCGCAAACGTTCGGAGCTCCGCGCGGCGGTGGCTCGGCGCTCCCCCCCCCCTGCGGGCGGCACCGCCGGCGCCGCCCCCGGCGCGCGGAGCGCACCCTGGGAGGGGGGGCCCGCCCAGCGCCGGTGGCAAGGAGTCCGCGCGGGGCTCCGGAAGCCAGATGCCTGCAGCCGGAGCACGGGGCAGCAGGAGCACAGGTCAATGGGGGGGCCACCTGCGACCCCCTACGCCTACCCCCCACGATTTCTGAGGAGGAGGGTGGGGCTCACCTCGTCTGGGAGCTCCCGAGCGGAGTGAACCCCACCCTCCCCCTCGGAAATCGTGGGGGGTAGGGGTAGGGTTCGCAGGTGGCCCCCCAAGCCCCTCCGCAGGAGTCCCAGTGGATACCCCAAAGGAAGAAGTAGGTAAGTAAGGATACTGCTCCTGCAGAGATGGGGGTTGTGCTTCACCCTCGTGCCAGCTGTGTGCCATTTTTGCTCCTCGAGTATGGTCGGTATGGCGCTGGCGTTGATGGCCTTGCAATACTCCGCGGCCAGCGCCGCCAGCATGCCTCCCGTCACCGGCGCGCCGTTCACGGCCTTGGGCTTCACGGAGCTGTCCGCCACCCGTACCCCCTGGGACGGTGAGACCCGATGGAACCCTGAGATCCGTCGGCGACTCCGAAGGGTGTGGCTTGCAGAGTGTTTGGCTTGCAACGCGCACCCTGGGGGGCGGGCGAGGACCTCGACGGAGTTCTCCGCCACGCCCCTAGGAAGCCGACCAGAGCAACGTCGTGCCCCCCACGCCCCAAGGACGCAGATCGCAAACCACACTCCAGCGTAACCACACTCTTTGTAGTCCCCGGATCTGGGCGTGACAGTTGTTCACGCCAGGCGTTTTCTCCCAATTTCGGGCCCTTGGGCCATCACAGATCGATCCAGCTCGAGACATGAAAAGAAAGGTGGTGTCTAGGGCTCCAGCCGTTGTTGAAACTTATTCGCGATGTCGGATCTCAGGGTATGGCAGGGCCTGTGCAATGGCCTGTGCCCTGCCCCGCCTTCCCTTATAAAAAGCGCAGGCTCCACCGCGCTCGATCCTCTGTAAGAACAATGAGTCCGCGCACCCGAGGCCACGATCCCTTGTAAAAAGCTGTGGGTCCGAAATCCCGAAACTACGACCTCCTGTAGACAAAACATGATTCCGCGCTCCGGAGCTTCCAGGATGGCCGAGGCAGGCAATCAAGACCACCAAGATGACCCAAGCTGCTTCCATGACGGCCAAGATGGCTCAAGATACTCTCAATGCGGCCCAAGAGGCCTCCAAGACGGTCCAAGAGGGCCACAGGAGAACCCCCCGCAGGGCCCGAAGAAGCCAAAATCATTGGCTTCCCCCTGGCGCTTGAAGGATGTTCGCGTCTTCGCTTTTCTGGGCCTCCTTCAGCTCAAGACAGCCCCAGAGGCCTCCAAGATGGCCCCAAGACGGCCCAAGAGTTAGGTCGGGCCTGCCCCCCTACAGAGGGATTTTGGAGGAAAAACTAAAAATACCCCAAAATGCTCAAAAGATGCCCAAAATTATGTTTGTTTTATAATTTTTCTACTATGTTTGACTATTCCCCCTTTTTGACTATTTTTGACTAGGCCCCAAACTATTTTTTTACTATTTGTGAATATTCCCCCTGTAGAGGGACAGGCCCGACTTAACCCAAGAGGGACCCAACAGGACCCAACAGTCCTCCAAGACAGCTTCAAGACGGCCCCGGGGAGGGCCCTCGACGGCCCAGGACGGCCCCAAGAGAGCTCCAAGCTGACGCAAAAAGGGGCCTCCAGAGGGACTCGAGGCAGCCTCAGAGGGCCGCGCGACGGCCCGAGGCAGCCCAAACATGACCTTCTGACGGCTCCAAGAGACCCGCTGGACCGTCAAGGGGGCGCCAGGACGGCCCGAAGGAGCCCCAAGACGACCCAAGAGGGCCCCGAGAAGGCCCAGCAGGGCCCCAGGGGACCCCCGAGACTGCCCCAGAAGCCCCGGAGAGGGCGGAAGAAAAGGCGGAAGACGACGAAGACGAGAAAAACAATAGACAACAAAAAAACGGCACGGCGCGCCGGAGCGTGCCGCAGGCTACGGCTCTCCCAAGCCCCGGGGCGCGAGACGTCACGCGTCACGGCCTCGTGCGAGCTCGCCGAACGGACCGCTGCCGCCCAGGGTGCTGGGCCCCTGGACTGCCACGGCGGCGGCACCTGCCGCAGGCGGCGGGATACACCTTGGCGACCAGCGAGTCCACCTGGATGCGGAAGCGGTGCCGCAGCGCCTCGAACGGCAGCCGCTGCACGGTGCGCAGCTCGCTCTCCTCGGACACCGGGCGCACGAGGGTCGCGCAGTCCCGCTCCGAGAACAGCGCCTCGGGAGCAAGGAAAACGGCACGGACATCGAGCTTTCGGAGTCCGCCCAGAGTTCTTGGGTCTGCGCTCAGTCCCCCCTCCCTGGCGCGCGGAGCTCGCCAGAGGCGCCGCCAGGGGGGCCTGGCGCCGATCCAAGAAACCCGCGCGGAGCTCCGAAAGATCATGTATACGCCGGTTTCTCTCCGTCGAACCTTGAGCTCATCCCGGACCCTGTTCTTGTCCTCCTGCCCAGGCAGCGCCGTCAGCGCGCCCTCGAGGTACTCCTTCTCCGTGATCGGGTTGCCCCGGTCGTCCACGAGTCGGAGGAAGAAGTCGCGCAGCACCCAAAGCAGCGAGGGGAAGTGGCCAGACAGATCCTTTGCGCTGGTCGGCCGTCCGTCTGGACTGCTCTTCACGTGGATGTGCTTCGCCAGGTGCAGCACGAGATTCAGATCTGAAATCGACTGCTCGTCGATGGCACCCATTGAGTTGTAGATGAAGTAGGACGACAAGAGCACACAGAGCGAAAAGATCTGCATGTCGCAGCTGGCAGTACGCTGGGCGGACCCGAGGCCCTCTGTGTCTATGAAAATGCAGTGGTAGCCCGGAGCCAGCTGCACTGGCCTTGGGGAAACCAAAAAATACCGGTACCGCTACTCCCTGGCCAAGACCTCTGACCAGACTTTCGAGCGAAGAGACTCCGGCCGTGTCGACGAGGGCTCTCCCAGGGAGAGCGTTCTGACCAGAATTTCGAAGCGAGTCCAGGCGTGGCGACGAGGACCCCCCAAGAGGCCTCGGCGAGAACGAGGGAAGGGTAGCAGAATCGGCACCTCTTCCTCCCACGGGGCCTGTCCCACATCCAGAGCCCCTTGGTGCACGCGTTGACCGTGGGGCCCACCTCGAAGCCGTCCTGCAGGCCGAGCAGGCGGTTGAGGAGGAAGGACTTGCCCGTGCGGTACAGCCCCGCGACGCCCACGACGGCGAGGCTGCCCTGGATCTGGCCGAGGACCTCGACCGCGCGCTCCCCCAGGTGGCAGCGGCCCGCGTCATCGATGCGGACGAGCTGCACGGGTCGGGGGTTGCCAGGTGCGTCCCCGGCCCAGGCGCGCCCCAAAAACTTACACAGGGAGGCCCCCACGGCCTCCCGCTGGAGGCCTGGAGATGGGCACCAACACAGGGCGGTGCCTCCACAGGGGGGAGATGATCCTAGATTTCGGTAATGGCGGTACGCCGCCGACATTGGTGTTGGTGTCAACCTCGAGGCCTGCGCTCCAGGGGCGCCCCTCGCTGGGCCCCGGGGGCCCAACAGGGGCGCCGCCATGGAGCGAACGGCTCGGAGGCCAGGGGCACCTGTGGCTTGGAGGCGGCCCGGGGGGTCTGCACTGGCCTTGGGGCCCCAGGCAAGCGGCCAGGAGGGGGACGAGGCCAACTCCGGTCGAAGTCGGTCCCTGGACCCCTCCTGGAGCCCATCTGGTGCAACGCTCCTCCCGCAGACGGCCCCCCCAGACGCCGGAGAGGGCAGAAGACCTCCCCGACCCCAGAACCTCTCGAGCCCTGCCCTCTCCTGCTGGCTGCATGCGGCGCTGGGCCACCTCGGACCCCCCGGGCGGCTCCCACCTGCAGCAACCCCCAGAACGGGGGAGCCCCCGTGGGCGCGCGCGGAGTCCAGAACGCCCGCCATGTGTTGGGGGGCGGAAAGATACGGATACGTGTTGTCCCCGGACCTCTCTTGGGGTGCGTTCTGACCAGAATTTCGAGGCGAATCCAGCGGTGACAACGAGGATTCCCCAGGAGGACCAGGAAAGGCCGAAAACGACGGGGGACAACACGTATCCGAATCTTTTTCTCCCCCGAATGTGCGCGCGGCGCGGCTAGCAGCAGCAGCAGCAGCAGCCGCCGCCGCCGCCGCGCCGCGCGCGGCGCCACCGGGGCATCGGCCCCGCGCGCCGCCCGGGAGCAGCGGACTGCGCGCCGCCAGGCCCCTCGAGCCGCTGCGCCCTCCCCGCACACGGGGGGAGTCGCCTCGGAGGAGGGGAGAGAGTCGGGAGGCAACTCCCGGGAGTTCTTTGTCGGAGCGATGGCAGGCGATGCAGCCCGATCGAGGGGCCAGGAAGGGCCATTTGAACCAGACTGGGCCGGAGCAGGACTGGGATCGAGCCCGATGAGGCGGGACCGGGCTGGACCCAGCGGGACCAAGTCGGATTCGGCAGGACTCAGCGAGATCAGGGCAGTTCTCGACCAGGGAAAAACCAGCGCCGACTCTGAATTGAATCTCCCGGGGGCTGCATCCTGAGGAGGGGAGAAAGCGCCACGCCGCACCACACCACGCGTGTTGGTAGGGGACCACATGCGAACCCTACCACTACCCCCCACGATTTCTGAGGGGGAGGGTGGGGTTCACTTCGCTCGGGAGCTCCCGAACGGAGTGAACCCACCCTCCCCCTCAGAAATCATGGGGGTAGGGGTAGGGTTCGCATGTGGCCCCCTAGTTGGGTGTTGCCAGAAGTGGTCCTGGCCCGAGGTGCCCCCCGCTCTTCGCGCCAAATTGGGGCCCCTGGGGCTCTGCGGGCCCTGTGAGGGGTGCTCTGGAGGCCATGGGGGCCTCCACGGGACTTCCTGGGCGCGCATCTGTAGGGGGCCACTTGCGAACCCTACCCCTGCCCCCCACGATTTCCGAAGGGGGAGGGTGGGGTTCACTCCGCTCGGGAGCTAGGGACACCTTTAGCAACGCCCGAGCGTGCTCACTTCCTCGCCGGCGCGGCGTGGCAAGGCATGCGATGGTTCGAGGCAGCGAGCGCTCAGCGGCCTGCGCCTCTTCGCCCAGCGCGCCGCGCCGGTGAGGCGAGGCGGGGCGGGAACGAGGGGTAGACGATCCTCAGGACGCGTGCTGGCACCAGGGTGTGACTGTCCACCGAGGCCCTTCCATACGACGCGAGCGGTGTTATGAGGACCGACACGGGCTGTGCGCCATCGGGGGAGAGCTGCACGGGGTGAGCACGCAGTGGGCCAACCCAGATCCTGGGGACCATCGAAGGAGGCAGGAGAGCAGTCGTGCGGCGGGTCCCCCAGACAGCAGGCAGGCCGGATCGAATCACGAAGTCGGATCGGATCGGAAACGGATCGGATCGCCAGCGAGTCTTCCCGAATCCGAGTCGAGATCGGACCGCCGCGCCCGGCTCTGGCTGACCCTGGCCGATGCAAGTGTATCGAACCGAATTCCCAGCGGGGCGACTCGAATCGCATCGAAACATGCCGTAGGTGGCCGTGACAGGTCGGCAGCTGCCATCGCCCCCGTCGGCGCTGGCTCACCTCCCCACATGCGCCTCCAAACCTCCCTGCGAGGAGTCCACCACGACTCCCGGACCCCTCCCATAGGCAACCGCGAGTGAACCCTACCCCTGCAGGTCAGAGTTCTGAAACGCCGGGAGGAGGTTCAGACTGCGAGGGATCCCTGCAGCCAGGTGGTCCCAGCTGGGGTGTCCGATACCCCAACTTCGAGTGGACCCGCAGGGGTAGGCTTCGCGACTGAGCGCAGATCCAGGGCAGCGTCCTGGCCTCCGAGCCGCTCCACGCCGCGGAGCGACGAGGGGCCTCCCTCCGACGGTACAGGCGCGGGCAACAGGTCAGCGGCGGGTGGCCCGAAGCCGCCTCGACGACCCAGCAGCCCCGACGACGGCGCCGTCTGGCCGCGAGGGCAGCACGAGAGGGAGCAGGGCAAAATAAGCCGCGAGCGTCAAGAGCAGTCGCCCTCCTCCCTCAGTCGGAGGCCGTCGAGGCACTCAGCGATTGCCTTTCAGGAGCACCAGGAAGCGTTAGAAAGATGGCACCCTCTTCACAGCAGAGGAACAGAGGAGGTGGTGGAGGAAAAAGAAAGAGGACCGGGAAGGAACGACATGCCATAGCCGCCGCGGACGCGGGTAGAAGTGAGGGGCCCCACCGACTGCATCAAGCTAAACTTCAACACCCAAACCAAAAGCCCACCGCAGGCGCCGACGTTGTCCAATGACAGCACCAACCACGAGGCAGTACGTGGGCGCCGAACTGTTACGATCTCGATGCGCAGCCAATCGCTACTCGAACGCCCTCCGCAGGTGCCCATTCTTTGACTGCCTGCGCTCCGGCTCGGGGATCTTCTGACCCCGGTCAATCCAAACCCAGGCCAATCTGGCCTGCAAAATCCTGCAAGATCCTGCACCCAAACCCGGGCCAGTGCGAAGCATCCTGCAGGATCCTGCCGGATCCTGCGCCCAAACCCGGGCCAGTGCGACCCTGGCGCTGCAGGATCCTGCAAGATCCGGCGCTCTGGCTAACCCCCGCCCGCACTGACCCCCGTCTCGAGGCTCCCGACCGGCGCGACCAAGGGCGCGAGCAAAACCAGCATTAGGTCGGGCCTGTCCCCCTACAGGGGGAGTTTCGACGAGAACTAAAAAATCAACAAAAAATATCCCCAAATAGTCCAAAACTAGTCTGGGGACTATTTTTTGAAAATGCTTTGCCCTTTTGGGGGTATCTTTGGGGTACTTCTTATCTTCCGTCGCCAAATCCCCCTGCAGGGGGACACGCCCGACATGAGACCCGCGCCGGGCCGCGCGGCCAGGGGCCCCCCGTCCCCCCTTGGGGTCGCCACGGGCCGAGGCCTCCCTCAGATGCGGCCGCAGGAGCACCGAGATGCGTCGGCGGCGCCGGCGTGCAGAAAGTCAGGCTCCACGCTCGGGAGTTGGCAGAGCTGGGTTTAGTGGAACCTGTGGTTTGCTGATTTGTACCGGGGGCGCCCCCCCGTCCCATTTCCACTAGCCAGAACTGCCGTCGCCCGAAAAACATCAGTTACGGCAGACCTGGTTTTTGGTGACTCTGGCCAGTTGAGGGGCCCCAGGGCCCTACCACTAACGGGGTCCCCTTAACCCGGGGTCCTGGCTATACCCGACCCCGATTCTGGCGGAGCTCACAAGGGGTGGGGGGAGGGGGAGGGCTTCTTGGAAGGAGGCTGCTCCTCAGAAGGCGCCCCGGCCTTACATCTGCAGATGCGGCCCGCGCCTCTTCTGAGAAGCAGGGGTGCTTCTGAGAAGCCCTCCCCCCTCCCCCCTCCCCCCGCTGCGCGTGGCTGATAAAATCAGGCTCCACATTGAGTCGAGGAGTGAGGAGGGAGGACGGAGGAGGGAGGAGGGAGGAGGGAGGAGGGAGGGGGAGGAGGGAGGAGGGAGGAGGGGGAGGAGGAGGAGGAGGAGGGAGGAGGAGGAGGAGGAGGAGGAGGAGGAGGAGGAGGAGGAGGAGGAGGGGGAGGAGGAGGCATCGCCCATGCATCGCCGATGCGGCACAATCTTCGGACCCCATGTGGGAGCCCGGCGCCCGGCACGGGGCCGCGCGGGCAGACCCCCCCCAGGCCCCGCCGAACGCCCCCCCCCCCCCCCCTGGCCAGGAGGAGCGCTGAGAAGCCAAACGACGGCGTCTGCTCGCCCCGAGCCGGCCAGCCCGTGCGCGACCGGAGACGGAGCCGCGCGGGCGGACACGCTCCGACGCCCCCGTGCCTGCCCAGGGTAAGAGGCATGCCGCGTGCTGTGCCTGCTTCTTTCTCTCTCTCTCTCTCTCTCTCTCTCTCTCTCTCTCTCATTCTCTTTCTGAGACTCTCCCTCTCTCTCTCTCTCTCGATTGCTCTCTCTCTCTCTCCCACTCTCTCTCCCTCTCGCTCTCCCTCCCTCTTCCTGCCTCTCCTCCTGCAGAACGACACGGCGAATCCGGGCGGGGGCGACGGGCACCATTTCTGCTCCTGCCTGCGGCCCTGCCCCGCTCAGGCCGCTCCCCCGCCGCCGGCGCCAGGTCCGGGCAGGCCAGGGAGCCTGCGAGCGGAGGGGGGGCTTCCGAGTGCACTCGGCGCTGACGCCCTCGCCGGCATCGCCGCCGCCACCGCTGCGAGGGCCGCAGGAGCCGCGCGCGCCGATGGCTGCCGTAGCCGCGCCGCTGGCCGGGAGGATAAGTCCGCGTGATGGGTCCGATGCGCAGCTCTTCCTCGTCGCAGCCCTGAACGTGTCGGCAGGGAAGGCCGGGCGTTTCGCCTGAGACCTCCTCGCCATTCACGGTCCTGAAGATTGGCATTTGCAGCGGTTTCAAGAATGCAGGGCGGGCCAGTTTCAAAATGTGTCTCTCGCCTTAGCGCCTCGCATAATTTAAATAGTTTGCAGCAGTTTCAAAGGGGGAGGGCAGGTTGTTATCAAAATGTGGTTTTCCAGTTTCAAAAACGGAGGGCGGGTCATTTTCCAAATGTGGTTCTCGCCGTAGCGCCGCGCCCATTCGTCTGAAAACGAGTCCAACCGCTTCGGAACTGGAGGGCGGGTTGTTTTCAATGTGGTTCTTGCTTTAGAGCCGCGCACACTCGCGATTCATAATTCGAGAACGGGGGATTCTCAAGTGGCGGCATGGGAGCCCTAATTCTCTAAAAATCACACTCTCGCCTCGGCACCACGCACACTTTGTCAAAAACGGCATTCTCCCCTCCACGCCGCGCACATTTCTGTGAAGCGGACTGGTAGAGGTTCGAGCCCCAAAATGGGAGGGGAGGGAGGGAGAGGGAGAGGGAGGAACCGTCCACGCCGCCTGTGGTGCATGTGGGGGATGGATGAGCGGGGTGGGGGGTGGGAGGGGGGGGGAAAAAATGTTGACAACATGTTCAACCGATTTTTTCTCCCCCCCCCTCTCCTCCCCTAGCATTCACATATGGTGCCAGACATCCCCAAAGAAGGTCTCCTGTGGAGGGTTTCAACAGGAATCCTTATGTGAAAGGTTTCGATCGGAATCCATATTGTGGAATCTTCAATGGGAATCCTTCTGCGGAGGGTTTCGCTAGGAATCCTTCTGTGGA